CTCCCCGAGTTTCCCCAAAGAAAGCCGCGAGTCAATTTTCGACACATCTAGTCCATGCACGTTTGAGCTCAGACTACGAAAATTTCCCAGCGAATTGCGAATTCTTGACACACGAATCAAATCTTTTACCGCTTCTTTTACTCAACATCTCCCCATCATATGCGTCAAGTATATATGTAGACCCAAAAGGCCTAGCGACAGAAATTTTCCACAGCGACAAACTTCCACAGCGACATCTTGTTCTTGATCATTGACACGCATCATTCCATAGCGACACTTCCTGAGCGACTTCCTTGCCCAGCAACCCTACTACCACAGCGACATTCCACAGCGACACATACTCCTTGCGACAAACCCAAAGAACCTTTGCCAGAACAATCCACGCCCACGAAATATCATCAACAACAACCGCCATCATGTCCTCTACCCAAGCAACGCAACCATTTCGCTTTCTGGACCTACCTGGAGAGATTCGAAACAACATCTACGACCTTCTACTATGCTCCTGGGAAGATGAAGTCGAGCAAGACCCAAGCATGAGCAGCAAGCTGAGCCGACGCAGCCCAAGCAACCCTTCATCGTCACTTCTTCGCGCGAACAAGCAAATTTACGCAGAAGCGTCAGACTACATGATTAAGCGCAATCAATTCGTCCGCATCACCTGCCGAGGTCTGGACTCCAGGAACCTGTTTCTCGGCGAAGGTATTCCAGTAATCACAACCGATGCGCGCAAAGTGAGCCTTTTCAATGGCCACGTCATGCACATCACGCTTTCCAAGCCTGCGTTTGCGCCATCTCCATTCCAGTTCTCCGAATTCGAGATCATGATGCTGCGATCTGACTTGCCGAAGTTGTGCGAGCAACTAGACATTGAGAGCGTAATGGCGGACGCGAACTCGACCACAAGCAAGCACGCCTCCATCAATGCAAGCATTAGGTTGAACTACGCGCACACTCGATTCTTCACTCCAAAGATCCAAGAGCGCCTGCTAGAGCCTATTGCGTCATCTCTCCGCGGTGTGCCCGATATCAAGATCTCTGGATTTGTCGATGCAGCCCTTGCGGAGAGCGTGAGGAACCAGGTCGCACAGCCCCGCTGGACAGAGCCTGACGCGACAATTGAGGAGATCGGCACCGGTGTAGATGTCGGCAAGCGCCAATGGCAGCAAAACAACTTTTACTCTGCTTCCGAATCCTGGGCTTATGCAATGCGCACTCTCGAGCGCATGCGCCACAGCTCCTCTTGGATCGGTCTGCAGAAGGCTGGTGGGGAGGACTTTGTGAACAAGACTGCCGATCTCTACTTCACCCTGAACCTTTTCCACGCCCAGTTCCTGCAAGTGGACATGGCCAACGACCAATCTCAAGGACCTCTCGTGCAGCGAAACGGCCGCGTTGCGATACAGCATCTGCGCAAGTGCGAGACCGCGGCTGCACGTTTTGCGCAGCACGCCGGCGCTACATGGACGCCGAGCAACCAGCAGTCGGCTAAAATGCTGTTCCGTCACGCAAGGTGCTTGAGGCTGATGCGTGACACCGCCAACAGCGTCAGAGCCGTCACCCTCATTGAAGAAGCTGCAGCGCTTGCACCCACAGACATTGCGATCCGAGATGAGAAGGACGCGGTGTTGGCGTGGGAGGCTGAGCTCGAAGAGGCGCGCCGCTTGCTAGCAGAGCAGAGCCAGGCATCGCACGTTGAGAGGAGGTCGATTTGGTCATCGGTTTGGGATGCAGTCACCGAGCTGACTTCTTGAGCAAAAGTAGCATAGCGATCTTTCTAGTTTTGATACCCAATATTCATTTTATCAGCCGCTGAGCGATACATCGCCAGCTGTAATTACTTCTATCAAGATTCCCCAAATATGTGTGTATTTGATCATCGTTGATAACTGGGAAGCCTGCGCTGGATGTTGCGTAAGTGCCTGTGGCAGCCAGGGAAGGGACGGACCGCTGCCGCTCCATTAACTTGAACAGCTGGGGTTTGCGTCGGCACTATGTGCCAAAAGCCGAGCGGCTGATGACCAGTCGCAGAAGTATAAGTAGTCTCTCAGTATTCGTTTCCTCTCCTTTTTGCTTCACACTTATCTTCTATATCCTCAAAATTCAAAACTGAATCTATCCCTTTACATGTGGCGTAGAAGATTTGGAAATCAGCTTTTCAAATTCTTATAATGCAAATGGCTCATTCGTCGTTTGCAAAAGTGTTTCAAAATGTATTTGATACTGCCGTATGGATCCGTTCCTCAAAACGTCCGCAAAATTTCGCATGCTTCTGCCGGAAAGACAGTGAGGCATATGACATGTCGGGTGTCTCGCTTTGTTCCTGGTAGAGCTTCAAAACAACCGGACAACAATCCACGGTCTGGATCCGAGCGCGATATAAAATCGTTCCACCTCATCGTCTTCCTTCGATCACAAACTTCACATGCATCCACGAAAATTATGAGGCCCTACATTCCATGTTGTGGTTTCTCCTGGCCACCGTATTCCTAAACATAACAGGAATTGTGACATGCTCGCAGGACAACCCACTCGGCGAAGCAAAACCATACCCCGAAAACCATTTTCAGGATGATGTATTACAGCAAAACCTTGCACGGCCTGTATCATGTGAGAAGTTTCTCCGGCAGCTCGAATTGGTAGAGACCAAGGCACTGTGTGACGAACAGAAGGGAGCTTGCCATTGCCATATAGTGCGGTTATCATGTGGCCTAGAGATGTTCACTGTATTGCGCTGGATTCACCTATGAGGTTGATGTTGCATATATCTTGGAGGTAAAACCGTGGTATTTTATATATCAGCAACCCGCGGCTCTTTTGAAGAGGGCATCGTCATACGTCTCGGTCCGTACATCAGAAACAGCAATGAAGTCTTTGGAGACCCTTGCTCATCGAACTATGCGCCTACTATTCGCGCGGCAAAACACGTCGCATATAAATTCCCATCATTCATTCTCTTATGCTCTTACATTCTATTGTTTTCAACTTTCCGAAAATAAAAATTCCTCTTGGATGCCTACATGACGTGCTGTGGTCAGCGCTTCTAAAGTCACACTAGATCATCCTATGAGTAGACCTTCCCTTGGTCATAGGAAACATGTCAACCAGAGGACATGTGAAAGGAGACATAGCTATTTCCCTTATTTAATCCTCGTCGTTGAAGCATTCATCGCTATTGCATTCGGGCAGGTATAAATACCCAGGCTTAAGCTTCTGCATCTACATTGCTTCTACCCTCTATGTACTCCTTGCTAGAGATTTGGAAAAGGAGTTGGAGGTAGCATGTGCAATGTGAGTGCGGCGAAGGAAAGAATAGCTCACATGGAGCAAAAGGCCTAGTACATCTTTTTTGGGGGCTGACGACGGATTCGTGAACCCGCTCTTCCACTCCACTATTCATGGTAGGTTACAATTGCCCCACACTGAACTGTAGTATGCTGGGCCTCTTGATGGGAGATAACAATCTGGATATATAACAGGCAGACAATGACCCTCCTTTGGGCAAGGCTACGCGTCACTCTTCGGACAATTACTCTTGTACCTAATAGCCAAGTGCCTCCGAGGATCGTAGAGTCTTCTATTGTTAGGGCTCCATTACAGCCAAGGATTTCTTTGTTTAGAAGCTAGCAGAAAGAATGACAGAATGCTTTCCTAGAGAAGATTAAGCAAAAATCTCGTTGCTGGATGCGATTGCGGCTAAGATTCGTCTCTCCTAACACAGTTTGCGTCGTGGCTCATACGTATCGAGGATGAAACTGTCTAGTCAATGTGTAGGGCTTTTCTGAGCACGAATGCACAGTGTCAACCAATCCGTCTAGTGGACGTTGCCCATCTTCTGCTTGCACTATTCGCCAATATCGCCATCTCGTTACATGGTGCAGGCTTTCGGTACAGCGGATATCAATATCCCTATCTTACGTGGTCCCCAAGCGCTGAGCTCTCTTGGACATGCTCGTCCACGGATATAAGCCGGAAGCCGCTCCGCGGAGTGCCTTGGCGATGTGCTCTCACTATATTCTGCGCATCCAGCATTCTTTGCTTCTTAGGGCCAATGCTATGAGATGTGCCATGGGCTTGGAGTGTCTCGTGGAGGTGGGGGAGACTGGCGATGTCGGGCTTATATGTTGTGCGTAGTCCTCATTGTTTGACCACTCGCCTTCCCACGTCTTCGCCAGTACCACATCATCTTGGATTCGCCAACAGCCAAACCATGTGTCGTATGTATCCATCCAAGTTACGAGTAAAGTAGCTCCGAAGCTCCCTGTGATGGCTGGCGATGATATGACTAATGTTTCGAGGTAGCGAAATTGACTACGCGCAAGGTGGTAGAAATCGTTATCGAAACTACTGGCAAGCAGCACACAGTCTGCGATGTGCTGTCGAGAGAGGTAGGAGATAAGGAGGACTGAAAGAAAGAAGAGGTATTCGTGCGTTTTGGCGATGGAGACCTTCCGTTCGCTACACCGCGCAGACAACGTCATAACCTTCCTTGCTACGAACCTCGCCGCGTATCGCCAACGCCGCATTCTCTCACGCCCCCCATACATCGACCTATTCTTCCAACGATGCCATTGATTGTTTGCTGTCGCTATGGTTCATCGAGGAATTGTTTTCCCGCATCAAAAGGCATATTGCCCAAATTACCTCGGACGAACGGCACAGTGGATACTGCGGCTAATTTGTGGCTGTCAGCCTCATTGCGATCCCCGAGGTTGCGACAGCTGCCAAAACCACAACTCCTGCTAGGCTTCACTAACACCTTCGGCATAGTTTACACAAACAACTTGGCCATGTAAAACAGGTATGTACAATTCAAAGGTCCACATCTCATATGATGCAGGATCATTGACCTTCTGTGGAACCCACATTATTCATCATTAATTCATAGAAGATTGGACAAGTCACCCACAATTTTGGGTATACGTTTTGAAAAAACTACTGGTATATCAATTGCACGAGCCGACGTCGAAAACACAATTACACAATGACAGCACTGACGCTCAGGTAGTGTAGTAGAAGTCCGGTCGTACGTCACCCATGTCATCGATCTCTTCCTCGGTCTTGCCCTGGACCCAGTGGTCGCGCTTACCCTCCTTCCTGAGCTTGTTCTCACGCTTCAGCATGACGTGCATGAAGAGAGTTCCACCGAACAAGAACAAGGCCATGTAGGCAAGGACGATACCATGACCAGTGCGGTAGTGTGGGGCTTCCCACTTGTTGTAAATGTTGGAGGACACGACACCGTTCATGTTACCCCAGCCGACAACGACACCAACCATGACACCACGCTTGAGCGAACCCTCGACGTTGTTGGAAGCCCATGTCAGCGTGTTGGAGACTGTGGGGTAGATACCCATGGCACCTAGGAAAGTGGCAGCGTACTGGACTTGCGGGTTCGTGGTGGCGAGCAACATTGCGAAACCGACGCATCCAATGAAAGACACGGCCATGTTGCAGATACCGCGCAACTTTGTCCTATCGGCGATCCAACCGACAGCAACTGTCAAAGCGGCAGCACAGGCGTAAGGTGGGACGGACAAAAGCTGAGCCTTTGTGCCTTTGTGACCCATGGCGAGAAGGATAGTCGGGAGGAAGAGCGAGAAAACATACAATGGGCAAAGGCAACCCATGTAGATGACGGCATATCCCCAGGTCTTCCAGTCGCGAAGGGCGGCAAATACATGTCGACGGTCGATGCTTCCAACCTTGGCGCGGGCTTGTCCATCCAGCTTGAGTCGGCGTACAGCTCGTAGCTTCTCGTCGGGGTTAAGGAATCGGGCCGTGTCCGGGAAGTCGAAAACCATCCACCAACAGAAGATACCGACAAAGACTGTCATCAGACCCTCAATGATGACTATTCGGGTTAGCAAAAGTAACATGATTAGGATGTGGGAACATACAGATCCATCGCCAACCTTCGTAACCGCCTACTCCGTCCATCTCAGTGATAGCGGCCGCCAGCAAACCACCGAAAGAACCAGCGAGTGCTGCGGCGGAGAAGAACAGGGCGGCACGGAAACCAAGTTCCTGGCGCTTGTACCAGCAGCTATCGCATTATTAGCATGACTTCCGGCTCCGTGACAGAGTAACTTACGAAAGGTAGTAGTTGACACCAGGAAACAGACCCGCCTCGGCGATTCCGAGGAAGAACCGACATGCCAATAGACCGGCCCTGTTCTGGACAACACCCATGAGCGTCATGATGACACCCCAGGCGAGAATGATGGCGGTGAAGAAGACGCGGGGCGACCATTTCTTGATGGCGATGTTGGTAAGTGGCTCAAATCCGGCGTAGGAGATGAAGAAGATGGTGAGGGCGACGTTGTAGTCACGGCCTCCCATGTTAAGAGCAGGTTCCATGTTTGCAACACGTGCGTTTCCAATGTTGGTACGGTCCAGGAAGGAAAGAAGATACAAGAGCGAGAGCCACGGGATCAGCCACTTGTCCATCTTCCAGACGAGTGCTTTGTCCTAAATGGTTTTAGTACGTCGCAGGACAGTCAAGAGAAAAAAGAGAGGCGTACGAGTCTGGCGCGCTCCTCATCGCTTTTGCCGGTATCTGGGTCGGGATACTCATCGAGATCACTCGGAGAACTGATCTGGGAGCTGCTGACATCGTTGGCATAGATGGCCTGGCCCTTCTCGTTGGCCTCGAGGCTGGATTTCTGTTGTACGGCTGCCATGATGATTGGTGCCTTGGGGGGTTGGACTGGAGTACAAGAGTCTGAGGAAACACATTCAAGAGGGGCAGCCAAGTGTCTCTATATGTACTCAGGCTCGCGAACGCCGTAGGTGTGTCTCCCGAAACGAGACGGACCCTGCTGGGGTTGATAGGACTAGGCTGCTAGCGCGACCCGGGACCCCATGGGGCGGTTGGATGGGACAAGATTGTGGATCTGACTTAGCCCGTCAATTGCTGCGTCCGAGCGTGGCGGTGGTAAGGGCGCCGAAGGGGGAATGATGCGATATCTCGACTTGGCGCTAGCGGCTGCGGTACCACGTTGCCTTTGGGTTTGTCAAATCTGTCACCAACCGACTTGCTGCCGAAATCCACAATGGCTTGTGCTTCACCGATCATGTTGGACGTCTACTCAGCGGACCCAAACCAAGCGGGTGTCCTTACATTGGGTTTCAGCCTCCCAACTCCCATCCCTATGCCAGGACTGCGGACCGATAGCACTGCGGCGCATACGAAAGCAATTATTCCACCATGTCGGTCTTTAGGCAGAGCCCCTCGCCGCCCCGGGCCAAGCACATGTATTAGGAACTTGCTGCGTTCCAGAACGACCGGGACTTGCGTTAGATGGAAGTTCTGGGCACCGCCGACGCGACCATTCGAAGCCTCGCAAAAGCGCCACCCAAGACCTTGGCACAACGCCCTCCAGCATGGAGCCGCGGATAAGGGACGCGGCGGCAGGGTGTTGCTTTTCAGCCGGCAGGACGAAGCTTTTCACAGTGCTTCGTTCCGCAATTTCGGTGGCGCCGTGTTGCAGAGCCCAGAAATGGACGATATCCACGATGTGGTGTTGAGTTTCCAGCAGCGGAACGCACATCAAACGGCGGACTCTTCCCCGCCATCTGGGGAATTGTGGATTGGCTTGGCAATGCTAAAATCAGCCGAACTTGATTAGGCCGCCCCGCTCACCAGGTGCTGAACTTGCCTGGTGTGCTCTCGAGAGTCCCGCTGTCCGCTACCGGGGGTAGAGCTTACGAGAGCCCAGATTGGTGCGTCGGATAAATGGAGCACTGGCTCCCTGCAATTCGCCAGCACCATCCAACGCCCACGGCGCCAGCGGAACAATGGAAGCTGCTTAGTCCTTGCATGGCCGCCTACAAGCATCATGGATAGTGATAGCATTGGTCTCTGGTAACTTTGAACGTCCGCTGGACCCGGACCACGGTGTTCAAGCGACACTGGGCGCGGCATTTGCAGCAAGATTTGCGTTACTCGCACGTGGCCCCGCAGCGGTATCGCAGACAGTTTGTAATCGTTGCGCTGCCCCGGCGGATGGCCTACGAATCCAAACACCAAGACGGCGTACACGATGTCATGCCCAGAAACGCCAACGAGCACACCAAGCTGATCGCCCATGTGCTCGTCGCGTGGCCGTCAGACGGCTTCCAGGCAGATCAGCGAACGTTGACTTCGCCCCTCGCCTGCTTGCACCATCTCAACGCTCTGCATCTCCCAATTACGTGCTGCACGATCATCTAGTTGCGTTACTGCGGCGCACTCGAATGCGTGTCAAATACTCCCGCCTATGGCAGAGCCCCCCAGCTGCATTGCGAGCCGTCAGCGCTGGGAACGTGCGCTGGCCTTTTCGTAAACATGCTTGAAGAGAGATTGCCTGGCTCTGCGACCAACCACGCCGCAATAAAACACGGTATCCATACTCAATACTGACATCTCAACAACGAATTTAGAAGCAGATGCAAGGTAAGCCCCAACATGCGTTTATTGCTTTTTCACTTCGCGAGAGCACCCAGAATCTGGGTCGCATTATCTCTTGGTATTCATTTATCTGTGCCATCAAGCGCGGACGTCGGCTATGCGCGTCTAGCAAACTATCGTATGCAACGTCGTCTAAGCGCAAACATCCAGTCTAGCAACCGATGGGTCGTGGTCGCTGACTTGCGCGTCGTATTCTGGCCATGTGTTTACGTGAATGTGTTCAAATTCCGCCTTGCTCTTCTTTGCCAAAGACGGCGAGACGAACATGTGGTCCAATTCTTGGGCGTTCATGTCGAAAAGGTAAGTGTAGCGCTCGAGCTTGTCAATCTTGACTACCTCGTCCATATCCTTGAGTCCGCTGATCTTGGTGTACTCTTCCAGGGGCTGCACGAAGGCAAATTCGTTAAAGTCGCCTGCAGTCACGATGCGGGCGTTTTTGTCCTTTGAGAGAATATCCTGTATACCACTGTCAGCCATGTTCTCGTCTTTTTCGCCAATTTCGATGATTCAGGGGCAGAAAAGGCCATTCCTTTCGTGCGAACATGGCGTTCTTGGTAACACCGAAGGACGAAGGTGCGAGAAGCTTGCTGCAGCCACCCCTCTCCGCGCCGCCGTGCCGCATGGAGCCGCAACCGACATTTGAACGTACCTTGACAAAGTTTGCGGTGAGACGAGACTGCTCAAGACGATCGTCTAGAAGCGCATTATTAGCGACTATTATATAAGCTGATTCAGTTTGATGAACTTACCTACGCCACCATTGACAGGTGGTCGAGCATCTCCGTGCAAGCTGCTGCTTCCTCCCTTGGAGCCAAAGTGTACATTGACGGTAAAGAACACATCCGACTTCTTCGCGCCGGATTTTCCGATAACCTCCCATTGCGCGGCCAACGGCTTTCGGCTCGCTGTCCACGCAGCATTGGCGGGTTCGATACGTCCGGGGTTATACTTGAGCGTCGGGCCAGCAAGCACTTCGTTGGCATCGAGCGACCCACCCGGGTTGGGTTTGTAAAGGCGGATCAGATTTGGCTTGTACAGGTAGGCGACACGGATGTTACCACCTGGCTGGCCACCATCCTGGTCATCGACAGGCACGATGTCTGTGAATGTGTAGTTGGGGCCGCCTGCAGCTGAGATGGCAGCAGTGAGAGTGGTCAGGGTAAGGTTTGCGGATACAACTGCGAGAGGTCAGTATTAAAGTTATACACGGGTTCACAAGCCGACGGTGTGTATCGTAACATGTATAGGACGCGTGAAAGGTAGGACAGCTCGTGCGCGGCCCGCTAGCGGATACCGTATCTGAACAGCGACGGAAACGGTGTCAAGCAAACTTTCTAGAACACTTACTTGCGTCATTTGTAGGACCGTTGTCGTCCTGTACTTCCTGTACGAAGATAATATCCGGACTCTTCATGTAGTTCACAATGTGGTTTGCCAGGTCAGGATGGTGGTCAGACGTAGGTGCCAAATTCTCCACGTTGTAGGCGCCAAAGGTGATGCCGTCACATTTGCCGTTCGACACGAGCTTTGTCGCTGAAGGAAGGGTAGGCTTCTGGCTTTTGGTGACCTTGATCGCGGTCGTTGGGAGGATTCGGTAGAAACCGAAAGCGTAGCTGACGATACCAGTGATCTCGTCAATTGAATCACCCATCTTGGCGTCAGTGGGGTTCTTGGTTCCGTCGAGCGGAGTGCCGATGACGATTGCCTCTGGATTTGCGTCCTTGTCGGTGATGGTTAATCCACCGCGGTCGTTGCGACCCGACACCTTCCAGTTTCCAGTAACCCATGTATCGCCGTATTGGTTGGGCTTGGTAAGCACAGTAGGCTTCTTGACCGTAACTAACTCGCCAGACAAGCTCTCCCAGAAGTCGAGACCGTACTTCTTAGGCTGCAGCTCAGGGTTCGCAACGCTGATCTGCGATACATTGTTCGGCACAGCGAAAACGTCTCCGCCATCCAAACTGCTGTACTGCTCGTTCGGTGGATCGCGAGTATCTTTGCCAATGACCAGCGGCTTTACGGCAGCTCCTGAGCTGAGTCGCCCCTGTAATACCGGTGCTGAAAGCTCGGTCAGGTAGATGTAGTCCTTATTCGAGCGGTACTCGAGCACCTTTCCTCCCACGATAATGGTATCGCCAACTGTTAAGTTCGCGCCAAACGTGCGACCGAAAACGTACAAGGACTCGGATGTCCGTTCATCGCTGTCGGGCTTTGTCGATCGCAACCAAAGGCCATCGGGCCCCTTCGCTGTGACAACACCGGTTACGTTCGAAACGGTCTGGTCCTTGTAAGGCGAGAGAAACTTGTTGCCATTGATCTCTGCAATCGTAAGCGCAGTAGACACCGCCACAGACGCCGAGAAGGCGAGGAACCGTGTTAGAGGCGCCATCACGAATGGAACGAAAGTGATTCGGAATGGTATCCTCCAAAGAAAAATGAAGGCTCCGGCCCTATCTTCTTATAATCCCCATACTGCCATGCAACCATATGTTCCAAGAACCCGGTCCCGGTGCTCTATCAATGACGATCGCGCTAAACTACACTACACTTGACCTGTTCCTGACTTTTATCGCCGCATCGCCGCCCGGCCTAGCCGTTGACAATCCACCGTCACTAACTCATAGTTGCACTTGCCTATCAGAGCAGGAGAATAGCATCTCGCCGCTCACGCGCGAGCTCCGATGCCTCTTGGCAATATCACAGCCTTTCTTGTCATGCTGGACCACTTTATCGACGCGTGCTGCGGCGCGTGTGCTGTCATTGGCTTGCTTTTGAGGTGCTGGGGCGCGGGACCCTGGCTGGGCGCGGGCCGAGGTCGTAGCTACTTTGGGAAGGTAGACGGTGATTGGTGCGAAAGCGGGATGCTGGGAGATTGGGCGGCGGGTTCCGCTAGCGGTGGGGAAGCGATCTAGAGACTTTGCTATCAATCAGACGGGAGAGATAAGACACGTGTGTAATTGTCGCATGCGGGTTATAGGAGGCGAGGCTTGAGGAGGTGTGGCGGTGGAAGGGACGGGTGATGGAAGGATGAAGGATGGTAGAAGATGAAAGACGGGGGCGAATAGGAGGCGCGCACGTGGGCTTGGCGTAACGATCTCGGTCTTTGGTGTAAGGGCAGATTTATTTCGTAGATGGTGGTTCTAGCATCGGACGCGTGATGATGTGTCATGAGATATGCAAGCAGTAACAAGCTCGTCCCTCGTAAGTCGTACTTGGTTAGAGTACAAACCTAGAGGTAAACCGTCCCTAACATAGGAAAATGCAGGATACATTGAGCACGTATGGATCATGGTATACTTGGATGCAGAACGTAAAGCAAGGAGTTTCTTCTTGAGCAGTACTAGCAATGGCGCTTCATGCACTAACGATATTGATAGTCACGCATCTGCAATGTGTGGTAACACAGCTTTCTAATCCTTTTCACCGTACTCCCCCTCCTCTCCATCCCATATGTCAGAGGACACACAAGAGCGTTCTTTTGTGTACTTTGCGTCCCTCTTCGCTAGAGCTATAGCAAGCGCTACTGCCATTCTGCGGGTCGGTGTTTCCGATGGCGGGGCATCTTTGCCAACTGATCAGTTCGTCAGTGTTCTGGGATGAGCAAGGACGAGGGCGACATACCCATCTCCGTATCTCCATCTTCTGTTCCAGCATATCTCGTATCCCCCTGAGTTCGATCTACACTGTCGATACCATCATTGCGGCTGATCAGGCAAGCTTCGTTTGAGTTAGATACTCTAACTTTCTTAGGCTCGCCGTAGTCTGCGGAGCGAATTTCCACACTCGCTCGACGTTTCGAACCGGTCGCTGCGGACCAAGCATCTTGTGTGTGAGCAGCTTCCGGTCGAGTGGACGTAGACCTTTGGCCGATAGAAGGAGTGAGGGAATGGTGACTCTTGCTGAAATCTGCGCGCTCTGGTGGCCTTTGTATATGCTCTCCTTGAGTCGATGCTGGCTCAAGCGACCGCGGATTGCCAAACGGAAACTCGTACGGTGTTGGGGGTAATCCCATCATTACGATAGGGTGTGTCAGGTATGACATGTCTGAGTTTCGACGATGTCCTCTTCCTCCTGTTCGTACCGCTCGTTGAGGTCTAAACTGCGAGACTGGCTCACCCAATGGGTTGCTTGGACTAGATGAGATACCCGGTAGGCTTTTCTTTATATTTCTCCAGACAGCTGGCAATAGTAAAGTGTTAACCAGCTGATCTGAGAGAGTAGGACGGATTTCATTCACCTGGAGTCCTTGTCATCAGGCAATCTTGGAACTTGACACGTAGACAAGTGGGATCGTTGAGTGGTGTGTCTTTTATCGATGGTAGCAAGGAAACCTGCTCTGGAGAAGTTCGTATATCTTCGGCTGGTGGAGATTTTTGTACGAAGACTGCGGCGGACTCTGGCAACGATGGCGTTGGTGAAGTCGCCCATGAAGTGTTCAGAGCATTGTGTCGCCACGGTAGGTATTCGAATTCCATTTCCTCGATATTTTGAGCTGCAGTAATGAGCTCACTAATACCACCTGGGTAAGTTGAATAAGCTATGAGGCGGTAGCATGCTTCGGATATAGGTGCCTTCTTTCTTTCGTCCTTTTTCGTGATGTCAATGAGAAGCTTAGCCATTACGTGACGGAAAACTTCGAGTATGAGGTCAACTAGCAACCGGCTCGCCAGAATATCCTCTCGTCGCCTCTCGAGGATCTCAAGAGATTTGATCTCTTGGCGGAACTGAGGCATTATGAGGAGTTGCGGGGACTTGCGGATCTGTGATTCAAGGAAATATTTTCGAATCTCAATCAGGTCAAGGATACCCCGCTCCAACTCTAGATAACGTTGAAACATAAGGGGATGCTCGACCAATCTCTGTACGGGTGCTTCTGAAAGTACCCAAGGCTCGGGTATGATAAGCGGCTTTGGTGCTTTAAGGCTTTCGGTAGCCTTACAGTAGATGCGAGATTTCAATTCATCACACCGCTCCAGGGCCTGCACCTCCTGTGCAGCTATAAATTGTTGCATGTTGGCCCTTCGTTTTTCTGTAGCAGCATCGATTGCATTCCAGGAAGCTCCTCTCACAATGGAAGGGCTGTGAAGCTGTTAGCACGTTGTCGTAAAGTTCTGCCTGCTACATAGGCAGTAGGATCTTCAATGTTTTCCAGAACTATGTAGGTAGACAGCAGAATACTACGCGCTCTCGCTAATTCCCCTTACATAGGGAAAAGTATAGGATACCGTAAGAACATACTATTAGGAAGTTAGCTGGGTATGCTGATAACTCGTAGTGGGCACCTCACCCGAAAGATAGAGTCCGGTGAGGTACGACCTTCCACTTTTGTCCCGACCGTGTTAGACTCCTCTTCGACCGTGGCGTCTATGGTTAGCGTCGCGCTGTCCGATCTGCCTCTGCTTACGAAGGTACGTAATTCATTGGCGAGGGATTTAGGGAGATTTATCTCATACAAATCCGCGTTGGAATCATCGCTCGTGGAAGAACAAGTCTCACGGTCCGTAGGACTACCGAAAACCACAAATGACGACATATTGTCGCGATTTCAGGGAAGGCTCGGGTGTGTTTGGGTGCTTGCGGTTATACCTTTAGCGAATCATGCATGTTGTTCTGGTGCGCGACGAGGGAGGCTTGTCCAAAGAGCTGTAGTAGCAATATCTGCTGAGTGCTAGCCTACACACGTTAGTAGGTTAGTCATCCCATGCACAATTTGCTCACCAAACTTGCGGTACCAATGGCGATGAATATGTTGAGTATGTACAAGTGAACAGTATGGTGTTCTGGGAATCAAAGCGCTTGTGTGGTCTCTCTGCTGTCCAGATCATCGAGGGAAGCGCATACCTAGTCGTGTGAAAAAGGAAAGGAAGACCGTACGCCGGTAGGGGAAGGTATCAGGTTGACCCTCGCAACAGAAGGAACAGATGTAGATTTCGTTCAACACCCCCAACACTTCTACCTCCCAACCCCATAGCAACCTGGTAGCTCTTGTACCACCGGACGTCCCTCTTTCGGTTGCCACATTTCTGCTCCTGGCATCTCGTACCTTTCCAACATCTTCCCGTCAAACTTTGTAGGTCTCGGCTTCAAAGATTGCTCCATCACAACAACACTGACGCCATACGGCTTCTGCTCGTTTCCATAAGTTCGTATCAAGCTGGCTCGATTTCTTCTGATATTCTTGCGCCTTTTGGCCCGGCGATACATCAAGATCAGCACAAATGCCGTTATAGCTGCAGTACAGACTGCACCTACAGCTATGCCCGCTATCGCGCCGGTTGGAAGAAACATTGCATGTGGGTTGGTCGGAGTTGAGGACTTTGTGATCTTGGTCGGAGTGATGTGAGTCGCAAACGGGATGGCGGTGGCTACGATCGTTCGATTGTTTACGGCAAGTGGATCGAAGATAAATCCTGGTTTTCGATGTGGAAGAGTCGATTGCGATAGTGTATGTATGTGTGTGGCCACAGATATCTGGGAGTGTTGAGATGTTGATTATATGATTGTCAACGACTTACGCAGCGTATTATTCAATACAGTTGCGGCTCATAGACGAATGGTGAAAAGCACAGCTACTTACACACCATCTCGCATCCCACTTTGCCGTCCACAAAGCACAAGGATAAATGATTGGTAAGATCAATAGTCGTTCATTTCCACATCGCGCCGATCTGACAAGGCCTACTATCACCAGCAACTTTAAGCGGAAAACTCGTTAGCATATATTACTTTTTTAGGATCATGATGCCTAAAGTGGTCTGAGATCAATCTGAGCCTGAGCGTTGAAGGATTCGGCTGACATCGAGAGCGATGAATTCGGAGCAAATCTGACCCGCGCGCCACGACGTATGGTACAGAAAAGGGAATTTTTGTATCGTTGGTGGCGTTGTGTAGGTACAGCTGTCAGCTACATATGAATGTTGCAAGCTCCTTCGATTTATGTACTCCTTTGCTTTTGATCAGGAGGGAACACTTCTAAGCATGGTAAGAGGAAGAGAAACTGGTGATGGCATGCGAAGTCCGAGCGTTGGACAAGCGCTAGAACGGAAACGGTATTAGCGTCTGTCTTATGCACAGCAGTATCCATGGAGGGAAGCTATACTGAACGAAGTATTGCGTTCTCAAGGATTTAGGCGTTCGAACTCAGCAACAATATTCGATGAACAAAGCGGTTTGCATGCCTCTAACGTAGAGGGAAAAGGGTATATTATAGAAGCTATGGTACGCGCTCGGGCATCCGCCTCCCACCAAGCGAGACAGCTTTGTAGGGAGGAATCGGAGGGTATATGCCCAAGTCGCTAGAAGTAGAAGTTTAAAAAAAACAACAGCAAAAGCCCATCCCATCAGTACCCCGTTCCAGGTCTGGATGCTAACCTCGTGCCGTATTCCCATACCTATGCAAACTCCAGCCCATCCACCCATCATAATCCTGTAGTCATAACAAGCGCAAACCATCTAAAAAGCAACACCTACTGCTCCCGGACTAAGTGCCATCAAGCTCCTCCTTCCATTAATACCAACATCCTTAGCACTAATCTCCATACCCTTGAGCAGATCAAAGTTAGGGCTCATAGGCGGCTTCTCATTCATAAAACCCCTTGTACTTCTTCCACTCAACAAGCCAGCCTCAGCAGCAATCTCCTTCTCCTTGACAAGTGTCAGAGGCGCAGGAACACGACGTAGCTTTCTAGGTGGCGAAGATGTAGCGACGGTGGAGAGGGAGTTGGTTGGCGAGGATGAGCGGGTGGAAGGGTAGGATGTGGAGAAGAGCGTAACGGTAGCTGTACCATTGCTCTCTTGGCTTTCTTGACGTATGTGTAGAGTGCGCGATCCTGCAGTTGAGGGACGCGAAGGTGAGGTGGGAAGGGCGGGATGCGGTTCACACTTGTAAAAGGAGTCGGCGGTTTTCGGAGTTGTAGGACGCGAGCTGGATGCCAGAGTGGAAGTCGAGCGCTTGATCCAGGCCCCTAGCCGGGCGATTGGTGTAGTGGGTGTAGCTGGTGGTGGTGGTGGTGTAATGGGGTTCGAGTTCAAGGGACCGGTGTGGGAGAAGGAGGGTGGTGCGAGCCTGAGTCCCATTGTTGCTCGGCGAGCTGGGGTACCTGCCTCTGGGGTGGTGGGAAGCGGCTTAAAGCTAAGAGGGGCAGAGAATGCAGAGCCGATATCTGAAAGGGTTTCGGAACGAACATGCATGCGCATAGATGGGGCAATGTAAGGCACGTGGTGAGATGGGGACGGTGGGGGACGGTTGACAAGCGCGGGTGATTGAGCGTTCGTGCGATACGCGCTGGCACGGCGTTCCTCAATGATGGTATTCAATTCGCGAATAGCATCATCTACATCGGTCTTTGTACGACGGAGACTGCCTGGTCGAGAGGACGGTGCGGTACTGGCGCGATTGCGCGATGGCGATGGTAGACGTGAAAGTACACGAGCAGGTGACAAGGTACCAGATGTGCGCGAACGCTGAATGGTAGGTCTCTCAAGTATCTGATCACCAGCAATCTGTGAATGCTCTGGAAGGTATGCCAGTGTAGGCGTAGCCATGGTACCCATGGTGGTTCCTGAGAGTCTCCTCTCGTGCGTGGTGGTGCTCTTCTGACTTTGAACACTGCTCCGTCGAGATTGCCCACCAACTGGCTTACGTTGAATGATGAAGGAAGGTTCTGAAGATATAGAGCTCGTACGTGAGTCTCTCACCCGAACGTGTGCCTCAGCAGGTTGCTCTAGCTGCGATTGTAGATCATTCCATTCATCTTGACCGTCGAAATCAGGCAATGGAGATAGATGACCACAGCCGTCGGGAAGATAGATAGACAGCTCGAGGGGGCGAAAGCTACGACGGCGGCGGAGGGGCATGGAAGCGTCATTGAGCATTGAGGGTATATCATCAAGACCATCGAAGTGGCGGAAGTCAGTTGGACGACTAATGCTGGGTCGAGAGTGTGAACGCCTTGGCCGCGCAAGGGTCGAAATGCTCGCACGAGATGAGGCACGTGCTGCGTATTCGCGACTGTTGGAAACCCATTGCGAGACATGACGGCTCATCGACTGGCTCGTTGATGGACGCTGTTGTATCGGCTCAACGCAAGGCTGTGGTACGGGTCGCGGTTGTTCATAGCATATCCGCATATCAGTCTCGCCTATGGATCAAAAGCGTTAGCATCATGTTAGATTAATCGAGATTACCCCATACGGTCCCAACATATTGGAAAGATGTTGGAAACCATCGTCCGGGTATAGTCGCGCATTAACGATATTAAGGAGAACGCAAGAGTTGCATGATGCGTCTCAACAAGGACGTTGGAGTTGAAGATCAACAGTGGGCTGTCGGCGAGAACATCCAAAGGAGACGGCGAGGATGTTCTGCGCGCAAAGAGAGCGCAACAAGAACTAATAGACGTGACGATGAAGAGTGAAAGGGAAGTTCAGACATACCAGTAGCTCTCAGCGCGTCGCTTCCATCGTTCGCAAGGTCCTCTTTCGATGCACAGCATCCAAATTTGATGGCCAGCCATGGGGACATTGGTTCCTTCTCTTGCATCCTTCCGTAATTCATCTTCTTTTTCTGCTGTAGACCAGTACAGCTAACAATCCATCATCAAAGCAATCCAGAACAGTCGAACGAGAAGCGTGGTAGAGAATGTCGCGCCCGAAGAAGGCAAAAGAAAAGACTAATAGATACTAGGAAGAGGTAAGAAGAAGGCAGGAAAGTATAGTAAGGATGGAAGAAAAAGGCTGACTGCGCGAACCATTCGGATAAAGTCGCAGCCTGTCGACAAATGTGTTGTCCCGCAACTGCTGGTTCGCTTCTGAGATGCGCAAGCCCTTAGGTTCTGGCCGTCAGGAACAGCAAACCACTCGCAGCTCACAAGACGACAGTGGCTCGCATGTTATAGATGAGGCCTGTCTCTTACATTTCCGTAGGCGCCCAATGGTAGCGCACCCCTACCATGGTGGTTGTTAAACTCACGAGTTAGTCCGCGTTGAGGCTTGCGTGCATTGAGTTGAGATGGTAGGGTGTGGGGTTTGATTGGCTAGGGGAATAGAGTAAGCGCTCAAGGCAGAGCGGAGACTTGCAGTAACGTGGACCAGTGACAAGGCAATAGCGCTTGCGGCTTGAAACTGCCAGAAGCCTTGTCGGCATGTGGCGTGCTGGGTTCCCCTTCGTTGGACAGTCTGGCATCAGGGCTGCTGCTTCATATCGGGTATGTTCGAGCATGCGCACAGTTGTCGCGTCCTGGAGCGGATCATCACAACAGTGCGGGGATGCCTTGGAACACTGGATGCTATTTGCGAAGTTTGAAACATGCGCAACGCAACGGACGTCATCGTTTGAGATTTTTTGCAGAGGCAGATTCCGATAGATGATGGCGTTGTTGAAATTGATGAGGGCCGAATGCTTTGGTCGGTAGTTGTAAATCGCGTGCGCGCCCGACCCATCGGTCGTGGAGGCTCTCGCCAAGTTCCCTCCCGCACTGGCGTGCATCGCAGGATCCGCGCTGCAGCGAATCGGTCAGCTTGTCGTCACTTCTCGCAAAATACCTTTTGGTTAGCAGTGTGCGATTGGTGAGACAAATTATTCTTGAAACAAGCATAGAGAAATTCGCAACTCCTCTCTCCCAATCGAAATCAAGAGTGGGCTTTTTGTGTTATTCAAAGCATCTTTTCGTCGTACTGAGTTTTGCTGGTGCCAGCACATCAAGGCAGACCTGGACGCCCTACGCTGCAGAAGCATCGCACGCGAGACAAAATCTCCACCTGCGTCTCGATTGGGGATACGACATAAACATCCACTACGGCTCGGATTGATAGGCTGCATGTTTTGGGATGACAGCGGAAACGTATGCACGTCGGACCGCAAGCTGCGCTTGTTAGTTCAAAGTACAATAAACATCTTCGTGGTCAAGGTTTCGATTTTATCCGACCAAACAAGGAAATCGCTGACATTCTAACGCCGCAGAAAACATATCGCAAGGTGTAATATATGACATGAGCTGGGGTATAAAACAGATCGTCGGTCCAAAATCTGACGAAGTAACCTTCCAGGAAATCGGAATCGTAGATGCGTTATCAGTCGGCATTCCAGGCGTTGCGCTCTTCCCTGAAACTGCCGTAGGACGGGCTGGGGTGATCATCGTCCTCGTCCTCATCTTGCGTTTTCTGATTGCTGACATCGCGCGATTCCCAGTGGTTTGCTTCGCTGACAATGTGCGGTTTGATATCATGCTTTCTCTGCTCCTCTTCGCTTTGGTTCTCCGTGAACGGATAGTTCAGGTTATGCTCAGCTTCTGGGTTCTGTGGCTCAGGCTCATCTGGGTTGAAGCCCTCTCGAACCTCTTCTTCTTCGCCCGCCTCGTACGTTTTACTGCAAGCTTTATTAGTCTCGTACGTCACCCCGGATATGAAGAGCAAACTTACACAAAGTGCTTAGAAGGAACCTCGTTCCATCCCGGACCACCTTCCTTGCGTGCCCTGACACGATCGACTTCCTCAGCTTGATGATCCTCCACAACGAGATCCCTAAGTTGGCTCTTGTCAGATTTGGCTGAACTTGAGGAGGACGACTTTTGGCGGAGAAGGTTGGCGAATGGCGCGCGCGACTTGGAATGAGATGACTTTGAGCGAGAAGATTCTCCTTCGCTCGAATGACTGCGCTGTTTACCCTTGTCTGCAGAGTCCTGAATGTCTTGGATCTGGCTCTTCCTTCGGCGTTTGTTTTCCTTGGTGGGTTGCAGCAGGTTCCGGTTGGTCGATGCGGTCAGAATGTTCGGGTCGGCGTACATGCGGTCTTCGCGAGACGGACGGTGAGCTTCGATGACGGGATACTGCAGCTGGATTAGATCGAAACCCATCTTCAAGAGTCGCCTACTTACGTTCCAGTCTCCGAACTCGAGTTCACGAGCGTTATCATATAAGCGCTCTTCCTCGGCGTCCAGGTTGGGCTCTTCGATCGTGTCTGGTGTACCATACTTGGCACCCTCGCCCTTAAGAGCCTTGTGTGGCCCGGGGCTCATGGCTCTGGCGCGGCTCGATGTGACTTTGCTGAGGAGGGGCTCATGCTCTGATCCTTGTCCAGGCTTAGGAATCCAGTACTTGCCCTTTCCTCCTCGTTCGTATCGCATGCCCTCAGCCATACGTGCAGCACGCGATGATGACTCCTCGTGTGCTAAAACGTTGTCGCGCGCATCAAAGTACCGGTATTCATAGTTCTTACCAGCAAAAGTTTCTTTGGTATCTTGGATGAGATCCAGAGGGCCAAATGCGTCACGCAGAGCGTACTTGACGGGTAACCGTGCGGCAGAGATGGTATCGTCGGCATAGTCGTGCCAGGAAAAGGCATACCAATGGGCAAGTGCAAAAAGTGGCATCTCGAAGCAGATGAGAGCATCCTGTATAGCAGCGGCCAAGTTATCGGGGCTGTAGCCAGGCACGTCGTCTGGAATGGCTCCCAAGAAGACAAGGATAGAAAGGAAGAATCCTTGCCAATAAGAGGCGAAGATGATGCCCTTGATGCACAAGAACTTGGGCATGGGCCGGAAAGGCTTGAGATCGGTGGACATGCACACCCAGAACATGGCGAGGGCGTACAAACTGATTGTGATGCTGACGTTGTAGATCATGCCGCTCCAGAAGTAGCCAGAAGTCCATCCTATGTATCCTTCCTGGTATGTACCGGTAGCCTTCATGATGATGGTCGCCACAGACAGGAGGGGCTTGACCCACGTGTATTGCAAGATTCCACGCTTGATGGCGAGGAAGGTGTGTGGGTCGGATATGTCGATCTTGGAGCAGACGAGGTTGAGCGGCCACGGGTGGGATACGGGCGGGCGGCCGGTCATGAGAATGATGAGGGCGCGTTCGCCGCCGATGAAGTTGATAAGCAGCTGGAGGAAGGTGTAGATGGTGAAGGCCTGAGCCATGCGTCAGTGACAGTCGCCAGAGGGAGAGATTGTATGTACCTCGTAAACGTCTCTGAAGGGCTCTACGTAGGACGCTGCAATTGTCGACACCAAGCTGGCCCATGATGCGCCTGCGTAGATGGGGACCCTTTATGACATGAGCAATGACATACGACTGATGGAGAGAGTGCATACATGAGCAAGATACGGACGACATATCGCTGTAGCACCGGTTTACGGTAGTTCTTCCTATGTTTTGTTCAGCATACGGGCGTCAGCAGTCGGCCGGTTCGCTCTCACGTTTGTAACCAGACAGCACTACGGCTACGTCAGCTCGAGTCATGCAAGATAGAGGCTCTACGACCTACACGAAAGTAACCAGACTCGCGACAAGAGCGCATACGCCTGCTACAATGATGACAGCACGTGCAAAGCGAGCACCGGTGCCGCCAGACAAGTCGGCGCCGGTAACGTCTTGTGGGAGGGTGCCTGAAGCCATGTTGGGGCGGCGTCGGCGAGCAAACAAACACGAAAGAAGTGGCAGTCGCAGTCGCGGGGTCAGTAGGGAGAAGACAAGGCAGACGATGGTACTAGCGATGGATCGCAGCCATGGTGTGTGCTGTCGACTGCCACCCGGTGTCGTGCGTGTGGTCTTGTGCACGTTCGCCCTCCACAGTGTGGTAGGTTTGCGGAGAGGCAGAACAGGTCCAAGCTCGCTTTCCCTGCACGGCGCCCATGACGCGCATCCTGCGTGTCGCGCCTCGAACATCAATCGGCCCTGTCCTTAGCACTTGGGTAGCGCCATCTCCAGCTGCCTCATAGTGCCTGCACTTGGACGGCGCGATACCCACCCCGAATATCTTCAAATATCAACACCACGAGTCAATGTCGCCAGAGTGAGCAGGAGCCACCCCTTTGCTCCTTCCATCTCCGCTCGCCACGACAATGCGCAACTTCTCCCTCGAGCCATGAAGACGCCCACTCTCCTTCACATAACGCGCTGCAGTCATGGCGTCCCGAATCGTCGCGGAGCCCCTGGACCCGCGCGACGGCTTCAATTGGGTGTTCCTGGTTGAGCTGCTCATCTGCGGCATCCTGACCATCTTCTTCCTCTTCTACTTCAACCGCCTCTTCGCGACCCTCGTGTCATACGGGATCCGCGCATACACCTGGCGCACCTTTAACGCCTACATCGACATCACCTCGCTCCAAATCTCTCTGCTGGGCGGTCGCCTCTTCTTCAAGGATATTCGCTATCATGGTCACAACGAGACAATACTGGTACATGGCGGATACATCACCTGGAACTATTGGTTACGGAGGGTCAAGGACGCGGGTGTATATACTGACGGCGACCCTTCCCCGGAAGCCGACACTAGCAGCGAGCGTACACCAAGCACGCCCAGGAGCCGGTCTGGAAGTCGAAGTGGTAATTTGGACAAGGCAGAAAAGGGAGGCAAGCAGACGCGGAAAGAGCTACCATGTCGCTTTTCCATCAAAATCTATGGAATTGAAGCCTTCATGTACAACCGGAGCCCTGCGTACGACGGGATCATAGACGCGGTCAAGAAGAAGGCGGAAAGCGTTGCCCAGGAAGAGAAATCGCCCGAGGGATCCGTGGCCGACTACGAGAAGACCGAGAAAGACGAGCATCATCGCCACAACAAGCTGAAGAAGCAGCATACCGAAGGCGACCACAACGTTATTCGACCTGCGACCGGCCAATCGACCTCATCAGATCCCAAGAAAGCCGACATACCAGCCTTCCTCAAACTCCTCCCTGTTCACATCGACATAGTGAAGGGCGCTATCGTCGTTGGAAACGAGCACACGCTGGCCGTTATAACTGCTCAATTCGAAAAAGCGACTGGTACCATCGACGCGTCTACATGTGGCCCCTTGGACGTTTACCAGCAGCTCTTCAACTTCCAAGTCACACATCCCGTCGTCCATATGAAACCCAATCCCGATTACAAGATTGGACAACTTGACTCAGCTGTACAGTACAAGCAAGAAGCAGCAGGAGGTGTACCGGAAGATTCCATAATCGAGAAAGAGGCACGGCACAGGAGACATTGGCGCTGGCTGAGGAGACTTCCAAACTTGGCTGGAATCTTTTCCAGAGACTCCGATTCCATCCATACTCACACCAGGTCAGGCACCGCTAACAATCCACCTCTGAACTCTCAATGGCACTTCCCCGGTCGCGAGCGGTGGAAAGGCCTGGCAAGATATCTCGACGATACCACCAACGACGGCCACGGCGAGTGGGATGGCATCGAATACGCCAAGACGTCGTTGATTGCTGACTGCCCTTGTGTCAACGTCTCCTTCTACTGGGACGTTCCTGGCCCTGTACCGAACGATATCGACCACAGCAGGCACATCGATCCCGCGCGACCGTACGACATCAACGGAAGCATTCCGCCCGACTACGGCATGGACATACAAATATTTGGAGGCACTATAAACTATGGACCTTGGGCGGACCGGCATCGCGGCATCTTCCAGAACATGTTCTTTCCTGGCAATCGTGTGGATGCTGTCCCAGCGACACCCCTGAAGGCTGGCGACCTCCGTGTGCAAACCGTGTTCAAACTTTTCCTCAGCATCGAAAACGATACCGTGTTGCGCATACCGATCCGCGAATCATCCAAGGATTGGAAGTGGAAGGGAAAAGCACACACGTTGAATGCACGCGAAAAGCCCGGGGACAAGAATAAGAACAAAGCAAAGGCATACCTCAGAAGGGGAAAGCGAAGAGACAACACTGGTGCGCAAAATGTTCGCCCTTTCGCATGGATTGATGTCAAAATAGCCGAGCAAACCACCGTCAATTATGTCATGGATATGTATGCATCAAAACAAGGATACCAGAGCAAAGTGGACGTCGATATCGCCAGTACTGAGATCTCGTCCAGTGTCAATCATGGTCTCTTGTGGCGCTCTGGCGCCATTGCGCTTGACTGCGACCTTTCTAATCCTTTAGGTTGGAATACATTGCGGAAATGGCTGTTCAACATCAAATGTCAAGATTTGGAGCTGTTCCTCCTCAGAGATCACATGTTTCTGATCATGGACCTCGTCGCTGATTGGGGCTCGGGTCCGCCGCCTGATTACTTTCTTTTTGTGCCTTTTCAGTACCTTCTCAGCGTTGACTTCTCCAACTTCAAGTTGTACCTCAACACCAACGACTCCAACATAATAAACAACCCATCTGACCTGGAAGACAACAACTTCGTTATCCTGTCCGGTCAGAACTTGCAAGGAGATGTATCCATACCACTGGACAAGTTCCGGCCACTTGAGAATGAAATCAAGTTTGACGTCAAAGGTCAGAATCTAGGTCTCGAAGTTTTGATGCCTCAGAAAAACACATTGCAAACATTTGTACAATCGCCAAAAGTAGCGCATCTGGGCGGGCTTACTTTGAGCGGAAGTCATACCTTCATGACTGAGACATCGCCCATGAATACCGACAGGCTTTTCATGGACATCCAAGGTCATAAGCTCAACCTTGAACTATACGGTTGGCTCATCCATCATTTCATGAAGATCAAAGACAACTACTTTGGCGATGACATGCACTTCAAGACACTGGAGGAGTTTCAAGGGCTACCAAGTACTGTTCTAGCAACAGACGGGACCCAGACAGACTTACAACCAGCCAAGCTCTCGAACGACCTGGACGTGATACTGTGTATCTATGCGGACGAATCATGCGTACTACTACCTGCCAATCTGTACGCCGCAGAGCGTGGCATCCGAGCCGATCTCCCGTTCGCATCCGCGGATCTGAGGTTTACCAACTACTACATGGATCTGATGGTCAACTTCAGTCCTATCAGTATCTCTCTCGGAGGCTTAGTACCAGATTCTGAGGTACCCAGCGAATTTACAAGCGGGCCTACCGAGCTCTTTGTTGACTCCACGATCATCTTTGGACATCGTCTTTTTGGACTACCACCGATCGAGCCAACCTATTTGTGCAGCTGGGAATTCGAAGTAGGAAAGATCACAGGAGATTGCACATCCGAATTTGTCGAAACTGCAGCAGGAGCAGCGCGCTCCTTTGGGTTTACTCTCGACGACGATGAGAACACGCTTCCTCTGACCGAAGTTCCGATAATCCATGATGCTACTTTCTTAAAACTGAAGACACACGACATCAGCGTCTGTGTCCACATCGCCCAAGAAGTCTTGTTGCTCAAGACAAGTCCCGTGAGTCTCAACTTCAACGATCTCGCTGGAACGACATTCTCTCAGAGGCTCAATGTTTTGATACCGGACATCACTATTAGTGCCGTTCCGTCCAAGTCCGTATCGCATCATAGAGCGCGCTCCAAGGAGAAGGAAGCTGTCACTACCCAGGCCTATCTTCAAACCACAGTGTCATTGAGTTTGTTGACTCGGAAACTGGACTTTTCAGAGGAGCGCGCGCAGCAGCAGGCTCACATGCGCTTGCACGACAAACGGACTAACCGCACTCGCTTCATGCTTGCTGACGAACGAGTCTCGTCTTCACATCTAGATGACACGAATCGACAAAATTTGCGTACACCAGCAATGCAATACCCGGACGTGCCTCATCCAATCTTCCTGTACCAGCCGCCTCACCATACCAGTTCGATCACGTCGTCCAAACAATCCTCAATTGCTTCATCCTCCAAAGCGCGACGAACGCACCCAGGTAGTAAGCGATCGTCTCCGGCGATGTCGTTTTCCAGCAGCATCCGATCTGCGGTCAGGCGGAAGGCAGATAAGACGACTGCAGGTAGCAGTGATAGCCGGACCCTTCTGAGTGGATCACCAAAGCCAACGGACTCAACTCACCGACCCTACTCGCCCTTCAGGAATGATGAGCGTGTCGAGCACGACTGGACTCCTTCGTCTGTCGCACTGTCTAGCAGTCTCGCCGTACCCTATTTTCCGTTTGATCAGATCGAACCGGATCTGTCAGATGTTCCTTCCTTCCCTACGATGCCCTCTAGCAATAGTTTCCTGGAGGTGGACGATGTTGTCTTCAACGATGTGTCAACGAAGCATTTGGATGAGAGCTTCGCCCACAGTAGCATACTCATTAGTGCAGAGCCAGGCATACGCGTCTTTTGCACCCCAGAATTTGTCACATGTGTCTCGAGCCTAATCGAACTAGTTCAGCCCAGGCGCCCTGAAGATCAGCTGGACGATTTCCAAGTCAACGTCATGACTAAGATCCTTGAGAACCGCAACCGATCAGAAGGCAAAGGCAGCTCAGTCGAATTCAGTGTTCGCATACCTTTTACGCACGTTCGATTTCAGCACACTTTCCAAGCTCACTCCATGAATGAGACAGGGCGGGATCAGTATGATATCATCCTGAACAAGCTTGCGCTGGCAGCAAGGATCAAGAAGTTTCCTGGCGAAAGAGCTGGTGAGAACTCACTTTCGCTACATACCACTTTGGGCTCACTCGGTCTTTCCGTGACCGAGCGCAATCTTTATGAACTAGGTGGAGGA